GCTTTCCTGGCACCTTCCCTCGCTGTGTCAGAGTTGATATTTTGGCTTCAGAGGCCTTTTTCTAAAAGTTATTTTGACCTCAGCTTTGGGGTTACTCACGCCTGGTGTAACAGAGCTCCCTTGTCCAGCCAGCCCTGCTCTGGCAGGGTGGCTTGGGCTTGGGATTCTCCACGGGGCCAGTGGTATTTGGAAAACAAGGGTTGGTGTTCAGCGGGAGCTGCCTGCTGCAAGTGCTCTCCGAGAGCGGCGCGGGGGGCTGGCGGGGAGCAGCAAGTACGGCTCCGAAGGCGATCCCTGATTGAGTGGAACGCCCTCTTCCACAGCCGCCAACAGCAGGTCGCTGCCGGGCTTGTGCTGCTTAGACGGGGGGCCGGAATTCGGGGCTGTTGTGCGGAAAACAGCAGCGGGCAGCTTCCCGCGGCTGGGGCTTTGGAGGTGCTGGAGCATGAGGGTCATCGTGCGCTGGAAGGATGATGCTTTCCAGTTTTAAACCCTGTGGTGCTCTCGCTGTGGGTTGGCTCTGCAGACGATACCGGGGGCATGGCAGGGGCCAATTGCAGGGACCTACATTCTTCCAGGGATAATTCTGCTGGGTCGGGCGCTGCGTATGAAACCTAGCCGAGGAGCTTGGACATTATCTGAGCTCCCCGTGTTTGGGGGACGGGATGTGGTATTAGGGAAGCAATCTGTGAGGATTGAAATAATCTGTACTTGCTGGTACGCTGCTAAACTGTGTCCAGATGAGTTCTGGGATTGCTCCCTTAATACATGGGTGAAGTGTCCGAGAGGGACATGTGAGGTCAGAGGGGTAAAAATAGTGCTACAGAAAACACCGTCTTATGTCAAATTCCGAGTAACAAAATAGTGCTGTTGCTTCTGCATTACTGGTCGTGGTTTTGTGGACAGGATATAAATATTCTGTGTCAGAACTGACTAATCCTCTAGCCCTTCTGTTGTGATCAGGATTAAAAGAAATGGAGCTCAGAAGCATCATTTGGATATTAATATTTTATAGTGTGATAGAGGCAACGTTCAGAGCATTGTCTGGAGCAGTTTCCTATTTAATGGGAATTTGTCCAAAAAATGGAATATTTAAACAGAATCTTTAAGCCTTGGCAATTGCCTTCGGAATTAATTAAGCACTGTATGCTCGCAGTGCAGGCTGTCTGTAGCAGCTGTGTTGTGCGCTCGCGGCGAGCGCAGGAAGCAGGGCGGTTCAGTAAATCCGTAAAGAGCTCAGTAGCCTGCCATGAAACCATCAGCTTTAAATGTAGGTTATCCGCCTCTTCCTGTCCTCCCGGAGAGGTGGCGAGGGGCTTAACTGAGGAGCGGGAATAAAGGGGGCAGTGATGCCCGTGCTTCAGAAACCGCTCGGAAAATTGAACCAAGCCTCTGCCGGCTATTTCCCTCTCGATTCTCTCCCAGGAAGCGAATGCTTCCAGCTGCCGACAGCCACACGCTTGTGCTCGTTTCTACTCTCTGGTTGCTCGCCTAGCACTGCGTGCAAGTCCGTTTGCTAACGGCCCTTCAGCAAAGGGCACTGCGCTCCGGGTTCACGCGTTGCGCAGGGCGACCAGAGCCAGCCTGCAGAACATGCTGTGCTGCCCCGCGTTTGGTGGCCTCTCGGCTGCCCGCGGCTCTCCCAGTCAGGAGGACAGGGTGGCAGTTTCTTCCCTGGAACACCTCTGAGGACTAGTTCTCGACAAAGTGACTTCTAGGGCGATTCTGGTGAGGGAAAGAATAGCTTCAGCTCAGAGCTTTGGGCACAGCAAGATCTGCCTTTGGTTACGGTCCGATGGAATGAAGGGCTGGATGCTCTTCCATCTCCTCGCGGTGCAGGTGCTCTGACAGTCGACTGCTTTCAGCGAAACGCTGGGGGTAGGTCCAACTGCAGCTCAAAGAGCTCGTAGAAAGCTCCGTGGTGCTGGAGTGGCGTCATGCGCCGGGTTTTGGGTTCGAGGCCTGGTGGCCTGCGCACGCTAGTTCTGCCCTGGCAGGTGTCAGCGGCGGCATGGGGACAGAGCGGCATGTGCAGCCGGCAGCCATGGCCTCTAGCCCGAAAGGCAGCGTTTCAGAGCTCCGGAGTTCTGAGGACACGCCAATGTCACCGGCTACGTGCTGGCACAGGAAGGTTGCATTAGCTAGAACGAAGATTAGAGATTCCCTCAGTGGTGGAGGGGAATGACGTGTCTTGTGATCCTCAGCTGCCTCCAGATCAAAGTCTCTCTTCCACGTCAGTGTGGCTCTGTCACGACACAGTCACGCTCCTGCTGTTGGGTGGTCATCAGCCCGTTGTTTTGTTTTCAGGCATTTTAAGCTTTGAAACTGGGGAGACTCCACTGTTGCACAACAAGCCATCGTGAGGTCTGCGTGACAGCAGTGCAGTGGTACCGAGACAGTTGTGTGGTTAAGGAGTTTGTTGAATAAGGTTTTCTCCAACAAAAATGGTGAGAGTGGGTAAGAGTAACTCACGTGTTGGAGCTGGGGCAAGGCCCGCCGCACTGAGGTGAGCCCGAGGGGGGAGAGTGGGGTTGGAGCCCCATCCTTCAGTCTACATGGGTCTACTCACTGGTTCGCTGGCTGTCCCTCGTCATGGGACTGGTACCATCTTCCGCGTGCCTGGGACCTCTGCCAAGGGCTACGACACCCTGCACCCCAGAACCAGGCTCCGAGGCCTGCGCGGGGCTGTTGGTGGTCCGGGGTGAAGCCGAGTGTGTTCGTAGCACTGAGAGCGGGGGGCACCGAGCGTCCGTTGCCAGGGCAGACAACAGCCCTAGTGTGCACGTAGCTGGAACGCCGTGGGAACGGCGGCTGCGGGCTCGGGGGGGGGGGGGCCGCCCTGGGCCAGCATCCCTGCCTGTGGCTCTGTCCTGACAGTGCTGCCTACTTGACCGTAACCATGTGCAGCAGAGCTTTTCCAGAGCTTCACAAAGCCCATATTTAATAACGTGTTGTAGTTATAATGCCTTCCATCCGCTGGATTTCACAAGCAGACTAATCCTCTCAGCTGGTCTTTTGGCGGAGCAAAGGTGCCTGTGTCACTGGCAAAGGGGCTGGAAAGCAGGCTGGTGAGGGTGTGCTGCGGCTCGGGTTTTGCAGCAAAATAAAAGGTGGATCTGGAGTCTCTCGGTTATTGTTCTCACCGTCGCTCCTGTGCCTCCTGCACACTGGGTGCAGCCCAGGGCGAGCGTAGGACGGGGTTTGTGTGGTAGCAGCTGTCACCCAGAGTGGGTGCGCCCCGTGGTACCCGCTGCGGCAGCCTTCTCTTGTCGTGTTCCCCCCAAGCTGCGCTCGAAGCGCTCCTGGGCTAACGGCACGTTCAGCTTGCCAGGGAGATCCTGGAGGGATGGTGCTGCAGGAGGGAAGCGAGGGTAGTTGGCTCTTGCCACAAAATCAGCGTTGCCCCCGAGGAGCGGGGTTGCCCTCGTGAGCCGGGCAGATTCCAGGCGGGTTCTGGGGGAGGTGCTGCACCATCAGCTCTGCTGAGCCCCTGGCCCAGCCTGGCATCTGCGTCGCGGAGTAGCTGTGATACCTGGTCTGCAAGGGGAGGGAGGGAAGGGAGTAGATTCCCAGCTGCAGCACCACCCGCTTGTCTCAGATGGTGCTCAGGGTACACGGGGAGTACGTGCAGCTGCTGCCCTTTCTCCTGGGGAAAGCACTGATCTAGGTGGTGCAGGGTTACCGCATTTCCACCGTGCTGTGGGCATCCCGTGCTGGTCAGGCAGTTGCTCCCATCCGTGGCACGGCATGGGTGGGTGATGGTGGGTTTTGAGTGGGGCTGATG